TGCCACCAAGCCCAGCTAAGTATTGTATTTTTAGTAGAGACGAGATTTCACCATGTTGGCCAGGCTGGTCTTGAACCTGACCTTGTGATCCTCCCGCCTTGGCCTCCCAAAGTGCTGGGATTACAGGCGTGAGCCAACACCCAGCCAGGCCAACGTATTTTTAATATAAAAACGGTTTTATCATATATGAAAGGAAAAAACTTGAATTTGTGGTTCCATTTATTTTCAGATCCATTCCCTGTTCTCCATCTCTACTGCCAATGCCTTAGTTCAAATCCACAACATCTCAACATCTCTCACCTGGACTACTGCCTCCAGTCTTGTCTCCCTCAAATCCATCCTCCACACAGCTGGCAAAGTGATCTATTTAAGAAAAAAATTGACCACATCACTTTTCTTAAGCCTCTTCAATAGTTTAACATCAAGCTAAAGTCTCCTTTTCATGGCCTTCAAAGGCCTTTCATGATCAGATCTCCACCTACTCCTCCGGCTTTGCCTCTCCCCACTCCATACCTCAGATTGTAAACTTTAATATACACCATGTTGCTTCTCACCTTCTGGCTTTGGTTCACACAGTCCAGACTAACTGGTCACCCCACTTTTCTTTTGACTGGTTGATTTCTACTTGTAATACTCAGCTCCAATTTATAGTAGTTCCCCTTATCCATGAGGAATATGTTCCAAGACCCACAGTGGATGATTAAAATCAGGATAGTACCAAACTCACTATATACTACATTTTTCCTATACATACATAACCATGATACAATTTAATTTATAAATTAGGCTCAGTAAGAGATCAACAATAATAAAACAGAACAATTATAATACATTGTAATAAAATATATGTGAATGTGGTATCTCTCTTTTTCCCTCAAAATATCTTAATACTTTCAGACTGGGGTGGAGTGCCAGTAACTGAAACTGCATAAGGCAAAACTGTGGATAATGGGGGATACTGCACCTTCTCTCTGTGATGTCAAAAGCATCACAGTTGCTGCCTTAATACTCTACCTTTATCTCTGTATTAATAATACATTCTACGTATGTTTGTTCCCCAAACACCATAACATGCTCCTTGTATCTGGAATGGCATTCTTTTCCTACCAAGAGTTACATAATATGTGTTTAATAACTGTTAGCTAAACAAATGCCCAAATTACACAAACATATAAGTGACAGGAAACAAGATGTATCTTAATCTTAAAATCACATTAAACAATGCTTTAAAATTGGCTTTGGCCAGGCGCAGTGGCTCAGGCCTGTAATCCCAGCACTTTGGGAGACCGGGGAGGGAGGGTGGATCACCTGAGGTCAGGAGTTTGAGACCAGCCTGACCAACATGGTGAAAAACCCCATCTCTACTAAAAATAGAAAAATTAGCCAGGTCTGGTGGCACGTGCCTATAATTCCAGCTACCTAGAAGGGTGAGGCAGGAGAACTGCTTGAGCCTGGGAGGTGGAGGTTACAGTGAGCTGAGATTGCCACCGTACTCCAGCCTGGGTAACAGAGTAAAACCCTGTCTTT